ATGATACATTGAGAAAATAAACTGCCGATTACAAGTGCACCTGGTTCAAGCCATGTCGTTGGGTTTGTTTCTTTTTTTTTGTTTTTCATTTACTTCTTATGGATCTGAGAGTTGGATAGTGAATATAGATGATAGAAGAAGAATTGATTCTTTTAAGAAGCGCACTAAATATTCCATGATCTGCTAAAAGAACAAACAAGTCTATCTTGTCAGTAGTACAACCAGAGTTGTTCTTAGAGGCAAAATAGTGAAATTTTGTATCACATACTTTGGACATGTTTTTAGGAGGGTCCAGTCCATAGGAAAAAAACCCCATTATTCTTGGAAAAGTGGAAGGTCAGAGAAAAAGAGAAAGACCTTTCACAAGGGGAATAGACACAGTGACAGAAACAATGGGCTTAAGCATATTAGAGATTATAAAGATAGTACAGAATTGGGCAAAGTTCAGATCTGTTGTTCATAATGTGACTATGAGTCATAGTTGACTTGATAACAATAATAACAACAAACTACTATATAAACAGTACTTTGAGCAAATAAGGTCAGCTATACCACTTCTTTTATGATATTTCTTTTACTTTTTTTAGTCCATGCTGTTTAATTGCAATAGCTAGGATTTCAAGGGAAGACCCTGTTGTTATTGTTATGTACCATCAAATCTGCTTCGTCCAGAAGATCTCACTCCAAGGAGTACCCTTGCTCACACTCAAGAGCTAATATTTTTCAAAGTTCTAAATTATTTTTTTAAATTGTGATTTTAATGAAAATTTACAGAGAGGTTAGGTTTTCATTATTCATTGTTAAACATCTACCCCCTCTTCTTCCTTTCCCTTTCACCCAGTCTGCTTTGGAATGCACCTCTTTTTTTCATATTGTCAGTTGTCACACGCGTAATAACCAACCATACATTTTCTTCAGACAGCTCTTCTCATCTTTCTAGTGCAGTGTTCATTATCTATTCACTTGTTTCTTTCTTTTCGCCTGACTTCTCATATTACCTCTCTTTTATAATGGAGGTGTTATACAGTATTTGGCCTTTTGTGACTAAGATACTTCACTCAGCTTATTGTTTTAATAGGTTCATTCATGTTGTGTGCTGTTTTACAAGTTCACTGTTTTTCAGCACTATGTAACATTCCATTATGTGACTATACCACAGTTTTTCTATCCATTCATTTATTGATGGACAGTTGGGCTGTTTCCATCTTTCTCTGTTGTGAATAATGCAACAATAAACATGGATGTGAGTATATGTATTTGAGTTGCAGCTCTGGTTTCCTTAAGGTATATTCCTAGTAGTGAGAAAGCTGGGTCAACTGGTATTTCTATTTCTAGCTTTTTAAGAAAGTGCCAGACTGCCTTTCTTAGTGGGTTCTACTATTTTATATTGCCACCAGCTCCTGCTAATTTAAAGGTTGATGTTTCAAGCATTTCTGGCCTGATTATCTGCTTTTGTTAAGATTATAGGGTTGATTCAACAGTTATACTTTGTAACACATGTAGTCAGCTTAAGTTAGAATCAACTTAATGGCAACTAACACTAACAGGCATTCCTTATGTATTTGTCTATTGTGGTGGCTGTATGAGTCTAGAAACTAAGCTCCTCTTGTTTCAGATACCAGCAGATACCAGCATGGGTATCCAGTGAGAACAGGTTTCAGTGGAGCTTCCAGACTACGACAGACTAGGAACCAGGATTTGCTGTCTATTTCTGAAATAGCAAGTCCTTGGAAAAACTATGAATATCAGTGGAACATTGATATCATGCCAGCATAGGAAGCCCCCAGGGTGGACAACTCTCAAAATATGACCGGGAAAAGAGTTACCTCCCAAATGGAGAGTCTCCCTTAAGGATTTTGTTCTGTTTTTCTCTATGAGTTGCTCATATGGCATGTGACTTACAACAGCAAGGGCAACAAGTTTTTAAGACAATTAAGGTGACAACCATCCTTGGCTTCATCTCTATTAAAACATTATGTTTTATAGGTTCTACTAACCACTTTTAGGAACTTCATCACTAATCCTTAAATTCTGTGAATTTTTTTCACATGTAGTAGCTGAGTTTTACCAAATGCTTTGTTGTCTTCTATGGAAATGATAATTTAATTTTGTCATCAATAGTATATTATGGGGAATTAATTGATTGACTTATGAATCCCAAACTAACCTTACATTCTTAACCTAAATCCTACTTGTTCGCAATAATTTATTACAATTATGATTATGTTATATATAGTCAGATTGATTTGCCAATATTTTCTTCAAGATTTTAGTATCTTGATTCATGAGAGATTTATAGATGTGTTTTTCTTTACAAAACTTGTCATATTTTTGTATTAGATTTATGCTGGCCTTGTAATAGGATGTGATAATTTTCTTAAGCTGTTTTCAAAGAGAAGTTGCATATGATTTTGTCATTTGTCTTCATTGCTTTATAGACTTTATCCATTAATTGACCTTGGAGATTATGAATTAGAGTGCAATTTATTTATTATACATAAAAAATTATATTTTATGGGGTCTTTTTGTGTCATCAGGCTTCAGCACTGGAAAATCCTTGGTAAAAGACCAAAGATGGATATGTTCCAGGCTGAAACCTGAGTATATTTTATGGTTTTTTTTTTTTATGTGTCAAATTTGGTGATTTGTATTTTTCACAGAACTTTTACAAGTTACCTAAATTTCCAGATTTATAGTCATAATGTTATTTGTAACTTTTTTTTGTCATGTTATTAATATCTGTAGCATTCGGAGACTTCACAGCTAATTTCTGAGAGTAGATATCCAAGCCTTTGCTTATAATCTATATGAGCATGGAACCTACACTGAAACCTGCACACCATGGTTGACTCTATTAGTATTTGAGATTTTTCTGACATTGCTGCCCGCATCACAGTGACATGTTAGCAGGCATGTGATAGTCTTCTGTAATGTTTAATATGCCTGAGAAAGTTAGACAGTTTAGTAGAATTGATGCCTTTGGACTATGGTATTGAAGAAGAATATTGAATGTATTTCCAAAAGAGTAAGCAAAATCAATTTTCAAAGAAATACAATCAGAATGTGCTTTAGAAGTTAGGCAAAGGAGATTTTACTTTCTTAATATTGGACTTATGTCCAGGAAACACTGATCTTTAGGAAGTAGTGGAAGTACTTCCTATTTGATAACATGGAGAGCTAGCAAAGTGATGAGAAACCTTAAGGAGAAATATTGATACAATAATCATGACACTGGAGTCAAACAGATCAACAATCATGAAGAGGAGGTAGAACTGGATAGCATTCTGTTATATATAAGATTGCTAGGAATTGGGATAATTCAATGGTAATTAATAGCAATTGAATTCCTAGTAATACCATCTTTTTCATTCCTAATAAATAAATGTTTTCATTTTTTTCTTTAATCTATTTGTCTTCATTTTTAAAAATTCTTCTTAATTTTAAAAAGAATCCTCTTACTCTTACTTTTTATAATATTGAACTATTTTTTCCTATTTTATTGATTTCTATTCTTTATTGTTTTCTTATTCTGATGTTTTAATTCCTTCTTTTCAGATAAAGATAAATCATTAATTTTCATAGTTCAATTAGAGAATTGATTTAAGACCTTCCTTGTTCATGTAATGTTAAAGAATAGAAATTTCTTCTCTTTGCTGTTATCTTAGACCAACTTTTTGTAAGGTTTGTTTTCATTTAGTTAAGATTCTTTTTTTATTACTCTTATAAGTTTTTATTTTATCACATCAGTTATTTAGAAGTATGTTGGAACTAACTCATATTTGAACTTCTAGTGGATTTTCTGAGGCTGTGAATCACGCAGGAGGAAAAGGCCTATCTTTCTTTAAGCTGCTGGAAGAGTCTAGCTGCCAGAGACACACCACCTTTGAATAAACAGCACAACTCCCTAAGAAATATGCAGCCAGAAATCTTTATGCTTTAGTAGTACCATTATAATACTATTTTAATTTATAATTATAGTATATAATTAAAAGGGAACTCTGGTAGGTAGCTGTCTAGTAAGAAGCTGTTCTGCAGTCCCAGAGGCATACAGTTTGAATCCACCAGTTGCTCCACAGAAGGATAGACAGTCTCTTCCTGTTTGATTTACTGCATCTGAAAACCTGGAAAATCAGTTGTGAGTGGGTTCCGACTCAGCAGCACACAATAACAGGGATAGTATATATATATATATATATGATTTAATATTTAAAAATTTTATTCACATTTGTTTTCTGGTTCAGTTTATAGCCTGTATAGCTAATGGTATTATTTGTAAAGAAAAATTGAGTATTCTACAGTTATTAAATGTTGTTATTAGGTGTCTTGAATTTTCAGTGTATTTGGAAACACTATTATTGCCATAATGGCTGATAATGTTGATCATCTCTGTTTTTTTTTCTTGGTAGCTTGACTGCAGCTTTTTTAATTTTACTGATATTTTCAGAAAATCAGCTTTTGATTTTATTTTATTTACTCTATTGATTTTCTCTTTTCAATTATAGTGATTTCAGGTTTGTTGTTTGTTTTTGTAATCATTCCTTGTATCTGCATATTTTAAGCTCTAATTGCTCTTTCTCTAGTTTCTTAAGGAGGAATCTTATGGTACTGATTTTTGATTATTCTTTTAAAATATATTACGGTTAAATTTAGATCATTGGTAACAATTGTATAGAGTTAGTGGTGAAGAATAGTATAGACAGGGAAGCAAAGGACTGTGGCAATTGTGTCTAATTAGTGGGTAAAGTGTCCACAAAATTTTGAGTTTTTAAATTCTTGCTTTATGGACTAATTAGTATCACCATTTGATTAGGAAAGTGACTCAATAGAAGGGAACTTTCATTAAGTCAGTAAATAGAATAAAATTCTTTTCCCCCACAATCTTGTAAATACATTTTCTTTTAATTTTACTTTTTAGGGACCCTGAACTTTCAGCTGTTTGTCGAAACTCTGGTACATTAATATTATACCCAGGGCCAGAAGCTGCTAACTTGGAAGACTTTATATTAGAATCTCCTATTTCACCTTCTGCAATCATCATAATTGATGGAACATGGAGCCAAGCTAAGGATATTTTCCATAAAAATTCCTTGTTCAGACTTCCCAAACAGGTAAATTAGTTTTTTAAAAAGAGAAGTATTCAAATATATAATTATATGTATTCTATATAACTTTTCTGAGGTAATACACATGCATTTTTATATACTGACTTGATATTATTTATATGTATGCCTTAGCACATAGATGGCCGTGTATGTTTGTATATGTGTAAAATGTCTCTGTCAATTCCTTTTGGTTCTGCTTGCCAAATTTCACTATAGTTTAGGCATTTTATAAAAGTCTCTCAGACATTTAATTAAGGAAATGTATAGATTCACTATTAGTATGTATTGTTGTTGTTACATGCCATCCAGTCTCCTGCAATTCATAGCGAGCCTATGTATAACAGCTCTGAGGTGATGAAATAGTTTTGGGGCTGAGCGTGGAGGCAGGGGATTTCACCTTGGTCGTGTCCATCACCGGTACACTCACAATCCCAAATTAAACACATAGTTACATTTAAAAGATTCACAACTGTTTAAAAAGTGCAATTAACCGAAAAAGGAATTTTATAGTTAAATTGAGCAGCAGGTGATGATATGTATAAATTAAATTATTTTCTCTTCCCTACTATGCCATAATAATACAAAAGAGACAAGGTTCTCATCTCTTGTTCTTTGGATTGCTGAATCATAAATCAGTTCAAAGTGCAAAAACAAGATCAGTAAGAATAACTATCTCAGACTTTTCAAGTACCATTTCCTCTTTTTATAGGTGAATATTATTCAACCTTGACAAGTAACACTTTACCACCATGAGACAAAAGTAAAAGACTTAAAGAATGCATCAAGGATATTGAACTATCATGAGGGGAAAATCACCATAAGCTAAAAAAGGAAAACGGTTTTCTGGAAAAATATGAATCAGATAAAAGCTTTATAACCTTAAAGTATTTTAGGAAAGAACACTATTGAGTTCTGAAAAATAAAGTTAAAGATAGAAATTTCAACTTAGAAATATATATATGAAAGCAAAGATCACAAAATAAATAGATAAATATTTCTAACTATTAGTAATACCCTGGTAACTATATAACAAAATCCTAGTTTTATACTTTATGTTGAAATATTAATAGCTTTGTTGTTATGTGCCATATGTACAACATATGACCCTGTGTACAACAACCCTGTATCCTGCTTGATCCTGTGCCAGTTTTATTGTTTCTGACACACTGGGCCCCATTATCCCAGTCACTGAATCCATCTCATTGAGGTTCTTCCTCACCTGCTCTTTCCCTCCACCCTCTCAAGCATGATGTTCCTCTCCAAGGACTGGTCCCTCCTTGCAGTATGCCCAGAGTATGTCAGATGAAGCTTCAGAATCATTGTCTCCAAGGAGCAGCCTGGTTTCACCCTCTCCAGGGTGAACCTGTTTGTTCTCCTAGCCATCCATGTTATATACAATACTCTTCTCCATCACCAGTATTTTTATTTGTCCTGGTTACTGTCCGTATCTGTGACTAGTTGGTTTGATCCTAGAGTAATCCAGAGACAGTTGGTAGTAGAGACATGTTATAGTTTAAGGGAAGTAACTCTCAGCCTCTGATTACAAAAATACATAAGGGGGGAAAAAAAAGAAAAGGGCTTTAGTTTGTTTATTCTAGTCAACTCAGAGGAATTTCCCCCTTCCATTTCTCACCTCTTTCTCCATGGAGTTGCTTTTGGATTTGAATGGCCAGAGAGGTGTTGCCTTTGTCTTAACAGTGCAACTTCCTGTGGACTGGATTACCAGTGTTCCCCGAGGCTTGCATTGTTGTTGACTCTTAGCTGACTCTCCATGGGGTTTTCAGAGACAGTAAATAACACAACATGAGATTATCCTTCTGTTTCCTACAGAGCAGATTGTGGATAGAAACTACTTGACTTTGAGTCAGCAGTGCAACTCCTTACGATTCACCTGCTCAGAGTTCCCTTATCTTATACTGTTGTTGTTAGATGCCATTGAGTTGAGTACAACTCATAAAGATCCTGTGAACAACAGATCTGAACCCTGTCCTATCCTCTGACAACCTCACAGTCTCTGATACTTCAAGCCCATTGCCAGAATTGCCGTGTTAAACTACCTGTTTAAGGATTTCCCTCTCTTTTGCTGACCCTCTCTACCTTTCCAAGCATGATGTCCCTCTCCAGGCAATAATGTCTCCTAGCAACATGCCCAACATATGTGAAACAAAACTTCATTGTCTTTGCCTCCAAGGAGCACTCTGGCTGCCCCTTCTCCAAGATATACCTATATTTGTTCATTTTGCAGTCCATGAGATCTTCAGGTCGCTCCAACACCACAGTTCAAAGGCATCAGTTTTCTTATGTCATCCTTAGTCATTGTCCAGCTGTCAGCTGTATAGCAAGTGATTGAAAACAGTATGGCCTGAGGGATATTATTATATCTATTACTTGTAAAATAAAGTCCTTTGACCTGTTAAGTTTTCAGGTATTTGCATTTTGTTACTTTGTTGTCAGTTGTAGTATTGCAGCCTGATGGATGGGAGAGTAACTGCAGGCAGATACAATGCTGAAATACTATCTATCCTAACATAGGTGGGAATATGTACTGAACTGTACTTAAGTAGATATTTCGTACTGGAATGCAAAAGTTGGGAACAGAGAAGAAGAATCAGTAGTTGGAAAACATGGGCTTGGTGACAGGAATGAAGCTGGAGATAGAATGATTGAATTTTGTACAATCAATGACTTATTCATTGCAAATACATTTATAAG